ATATATGTATATATTTATATATAAACATAACTATTATAATATTGCCTTACTAGTTTTTATTTTTGATGTTTTAAAAAAAATTTAACGCTAATTATACAAATCTAGTATAGTGTTTTATTTTTTATTCTTAATATTTAAAGAATGTTTAAAAATACTTTAATAATCACTATAACATTTATCTATTGTCATGATTTTTTAGTCTCTTACTTAAATATATTTTACTTTCTTACACTTACCGTAAGTAAGTTTCTTATATCACGTAAAATTATATCACGTAATAATTAAATAAATAAATATTTGATATAAATTATTGAAGTCACTACAGAGTTCAATACAGAGTTACTCTTTTCAATGTTCACGATAGTTTTATGATAACATATGCCTGTCGGTATTATTGGTAACCGCGTCGGTATGTATCATCGGTAACCGTGCCGATATATGGATTAAATTTCGAGCCGCTGGCGCGTGATAGTAGGAGGCGGCCGGAAGAGAACTACTTCTTCTCACGGCGCACGATATGGTGCTCCGCACTGCATGTACATGCAAAACTCGTATCTCTAGAAAACGTATTACTATAAACGTATTACTATAAAAATCTTTTTCTACAAAATCAATTTTACGAAAGAAATGATATCAATTAGTAGCTCCAAGTAAAATCTTAGACATTTATACATTGTTACAATATATAAAATATTATATAAAATTTTGTAAGTTGCTTATACGTTGTTATAAAATATAAAATATTCCAAAACAATAGAAAGTTTACAAAGAGTAAACTAAAGATACGCCGCGATCACCCTGTGTTCTGTGGTTGCTAGGCGAGCGGTCTTAAATACCAAGTACACGCGCAATTCGTATCTCTAGAAAAAGTAGTACTATAAAAATTTTTCTCTACAAAATCTATTTTACAAAAGAAATGATATCAATAAATAGCGCAAAATAAAATCTTGTATACATTTATACAGTGATACAAAATATAAAATATTATACAAAACTTTGTAAAGTGTTTATACGTTGTAAAATATAAAATATAAAATATAAAATATAAAATATAAAATATAAAATATAAAATATAAAATATAAATAAAATATAAAATATATAAAATATTCTAAAATAATAGAAAGTTTTAAAATATGTTGTGTGACTACTTTTTATGTAAAGCACTCATTGGTATAAGAAATGACCTCACCTTGCGTGGAAAATTTTTAACTATGTGAAATTATACATGTAGATCTCGCTTTGTGTAAAAAGTCAATAACCCATACAAACCCCGCAGAATTTTTCGAAATAAAAACTATTTAATACCAAAAAACTTGGAGCGGAGTGACGACCCGCCGCCTATTGTAAAGCTCGCGTTACATTCGACATCTCAGTACCCTATGTAAAAAAAAAAAAAACTAGTTTGATAAATATTGTACTTCTAAATAAAACAAATATTTTAACATAAAAAAGGAGGAATAAATTATGTAATAATTAATTAATCAAGGCTTGACCTCGTACATTTTTCCCGTCCCAGCGATCGCACGGTCTCGTCCCTAGTCCTTGGAGCCACCGCTCCAGACTTTAAAAAGAGACCACCGAGCGAGAATACAAAGAACGGAGTAATATCGGCACGCGCCGATGACCCGTCCGTGAGTATAAACAACTCGCTCGACTCGCACACAGATAGATTTCCGCATCTTCTGTGTCGAGCATCTGAAATAAAACGTCCAACTGTTGCGTACCACCATAGCCCGACCGTATCCATGGGCTAGGACGTAACACTTGCTTGGTTTGAGAGGGAAATAAAATGGCGTCACTGATTTTTGAGTTGATGGACGTTTTCAAGGTGAATTAAAGATCAACTTTGTTTTTTAAAATGAAAAATTATATTTTTTTACATCTTATTCTATGCAAAAAACAAACAACTTTCATCTGAACCATTTTTCCACCCGACTTTCATCTTTTAAGATACAAAAAATTTTTTTTCAATATGTTTTATTATAACATTTTTGTTTTATTTCCAATTGTTAATACCACCTCACCTGTGAAACTCACTGCAATAAATGCTCAAACTGGTGCATTTTGCACTTTCAAGCAGTTATTTACACGTCTTGTGAAAGAATGATGCACATAGGAAATTGTTTTTCTTGATACTTTTACAAGCAATTTCCTATCAGCGTCAGTCTTTCATAAGATGTGTAAATAACTGCCTGAAAGTGCAAGGTCACTATTTTGGGCATTTATTGCAGTGAGCTTTACAGGTGAGGTGGTACTAATAGTTGGAAATAAAACATAAATGTTATAATAAAACATCTTGAAAAACAAAAAAATTTTTGTGTATCTTGGAATATGAAAGTCGGATAGAAAAATGATTCAGACAAAAGTTGTTTGTTTTTTTACATAGAATAAGATGTCGTAAAGAAAAATATGCGTTTCCAGTTACAAAAACAAAGTTAATCTTGAATTAATCTTGAGAACGTCTACCAACTCAAAAATCAGTGACGCTATTTTGTTTCCCCCTCAAAACCAAGCAAGTTTTGTCTCAATTATTTTCTTTAAAAGTGTATAGTTCTCGCGATATTCCAGATGGTACATTAAAATGGGACACCCTGTATATACATGATGTCCGACAATTGGTGTAACGTTTCTCGTAGGCAGATAGAAGGAGTAAAACTGAGTCGATAAGTTCTATACCATTTTGCTAGATTCGCAATAGTTACCAAGATCTTAATTACTAAAGATCCACGAATAAGCATGCATCAGGCTGTCTTACGCGCATCTTGTTAGTTTTTGACATATATTTTTTCCTCTTATTCACATTATCATTTCAGAACCATCAATGCGCAATGACAATCTGTTGACTTTACGCATTGTTTTTATTAGTTTCAACTTTTCCTATCTGTCGATGCATGACGTCAGTTTCTATTTTTGTTAAATGGGTGTGTACATTCTCCTTACTTTTCAATTTGCGAGATTTTTAAAGAAGGATTTTTAAAGAAATATTTTGTTTTTACCATTGTCTCTACAAATTGTCTCTAATGTTTTTTTATATTATATTGTAGAATGACTGAAGATGATCAGAAATAAAGACTGATCGAAATGTCCCGTTCACTTCAAGTAAGTGAAATTTATTTTATTTATTTTAACTACTATTGGTAGACTATTGGCTGCAAGGTCTATTTTGTAAAATACAATCAACCTCGATATTTGCGCGCTTAATATTTGTGCGCCCTCTCTTTACATATATTCAAATTAATACACCTAAGTTCTACTGCACTCTTTATTCCACAACACAACAAACTGCTTAGTGTCGCTAGTTCCTCGCGCACACTCTAGCGTGAATGGTGGACAGGCGGGGTTATGGAAGCATACAAAGAGTACTCTATATAATATGTATTTTCCAGGAAATTCTTTTCTTACAGCCCTATATCCGCGCAATATCGAGAGTTGACTGTATTTTGTATTCTTTCCAAGCCAACTTCAATTAATTATTTGATGCTTTATATGATTTTAAAAACTCCATCCAATGTCAAACTCTTATCACTACAAGATTTTTTTAAGTACAACTTTGTTTTGTACATATTTTTTGTTATAGTTGATTGTTTTTGAGATTTTTTAGCGTTTCCGGACTTTTAGGAGACTCTATATAATTCTATAACCAGTTAGCAAATGTTGATGTTATTTAGTAGAAAATCCGTTGCAAAAAATAGTACTTTAACCAGGGCTCGAACGGCTATACTTTATTTGTGAGTTTGTGCAGAAATATTCGTTTATTTTTACATAAGTTGCAATAATTATTTCGTCACTTCTAACGTCAGAATAAAGTGACTGCAAGAATATCGATGAGTCTTAGGACTTCTAAGTACAAGCAGTACGTGTCAACACGATACGATAAGATGATAAAAAACTACGCGATATTCAATCCATATGTTGCTTCATAAAAATAAAATGCTGATTGACGCGTTGGTTTTTGTAGATGAGTTCCAGATGCGTACAAAATAAAACGGACACGGCAAGATGTATCAATCGGACACATCAAGCAATGGACACATGACAATCTCAATCGGACACAGTACCCAGAACATGGTTTTAATTGGACACGAGTTAGAACGACAGTCTCAATTGGACACAGTTACAATTAGACACAAAGTGAAACGGACACACGACAGTCTCAACACAGTTCTAATCGCTGCGCTCTTCTCCTCCCCGCCTACACGTTTACACGAACAAAAAGAATAAAAACATTAAAAAAGTAGTCTGTTTTAATACTATTGTGTCCGATTAAAACTGTTCTAATTGGAACTTTGTCCGATTTAGACTGTTATGTGTCCGTTTCACCTCGTATCCAATTGTAACCGTGTCCGATTGAGACTGTTGTGTGTCCGCTTAATGTGTCCGATTGAGACTGTGTCCGATTGCCTTCGTTATGTGTCCGTTTCTTCTTGTGTCCGATTGAGTCTGTGTCCAATTGACACACATTCTGTGTGTGACACAACGTATCCGTTTTATTTTGTGCGCATCTGGAACTCATCTGATTTTTGTTACGCCGACTAAGTATAAAACTATGTATTAGAATTGAGCTTGGATTGAAATTCGATTAGAATTAGAACATTTACTAAACTTGAAATTAATTTTTTAAATTCTGATTAATTTCAAATCAACTTTCTGGTTAATTTCAAATCAACTTTTAATCTTAATTTATAATCTAATAGGATTATTCAAGAAATAATATTGTTTTTGAAGAAAGTAATTGTAAAACTTTCGAGAATAATACATTTTCTAAAAAAAAAAGAACTTTGATTTTTATAAAAATTGTTTTATAAGAGAACCTGTCTGAAATACTTCCAACTATGTCACACTCGCACGGATCGCAACCTTGTCCACTGGCAATTCTCCAATGATACTCCTCACAAGAATCACAAAGTTGTCCAATGACATGTGGCAAACACGGGCATTGTCCGGTACGATGGTCGCACGGACCTGTGCTCTTATCAGTGCCAAGCACATTGCATTGACAATCCCGGCAGTCTTGTCGAAGAGCATTTCCATAGAATCCTGGTCTACATACTTCGCAGTTTCGACCAGCAGTATTGAACAAACATTGAAGGCAATGACCAGTCTGTCGATCGCAGTTTCCTGCTCGATGTAAGTCTGTATTGTTGTTGCAGTTGCATATTTCGCATCCACCTGGTACTCTTTCGGGATTACCAAAATAATTCTCGGCACAAAACTCACATCGCGGCCCGGAGTACCCCTCGAAACATTCGCACACTACATCTTGTGTTACAGAGTCTAAAGAGCAACTGTCAGCGTATGAATGACCGGATTCACGAGTACCTGTAAAAATGAAAATAACGATAAAAATATAATAAATACAATAACGTCATACAATTAACGTATATTTTTAGTAATAAACCATGACGCTGTTTAATTTATTTAAATAACTAATCAAGCAGTACTTAGATTTTCTAACAAGGGGAGGCCGCGAACCTGGAGACTTGGATTTCAATAAAGTTTTGTGAGTATGTAGAGGGCCTCACACAACACACACACACACACACACACACACACACACACACACGCGCACACACGCACGCACGCACGCACGCACGCACGCACGCACGCACGCACGCACGCACGCACGCACGCACGCACGCACGCACGCACGCACGCACNCACNCACACACACAATATATGACTAATAATTTGCACAATTCGTGCCCGTTTTTATTTTAAGGGTATGATTTTTTACTTTAAAAGTAAAAGGGCGCTTACACTTTTTTGCGTATATCTCTTAAAGTACAAGAAATACAGAAAAATGTTTAAGACAAAAGTTTTATAGCAAGCTAATTGCTACAAATGACATAAACAAAAAAAAAAAAATTTTGTTTATTGCAAAATAAAAATATTTTTTGTTGTTTAAAAATATTTGTTGTATTTCTGTGATAATAAAAAAAAAGACTATTTTTCTGAACTCAACCATATATATATATACATATATATATATATATATATATATATATATATATATATTTTATAATACATTGTTTTATACTGCATTTACACGTTGAAAACGCTTTATCTAGTACACGTATTTACACATTTGACATTTATATATATTTATTCTCGTCTGACCTGTATATTGATACATAGAGATCACAGTATAGGTAAGATACAGTAGACTGACTCTGCAAAAACTTAAACTAAAAGCTGTTTCTCGCACATGACCGATTTGCACAACTAACAATTTGGCGACTATAAACATATGTAGTAGCTTCACAACTACTGTTGATTTCAAATAAAAACACTGCACGCTGCTAAACTTATATATATTAATTAAAATATAGTAAGGACTACAATATAAGTGAAAGAAGTGGATATCGATGTTGTGTCAAAGACTACCCAAATGCAACTAATGACAAACGAGGAAAGAAAAAAACTTTGTTTCAATTTCCAAAAGATATAAAGGTTAATTTATTATGTTACTTGTCTTTTCATTACTATAGCTTTTAAGGATTTGTTGGAAGTCGAGGAGGTTGGTTGGTGAGAAGAATAAGTTCTATACCTGAACTTATAATATTATCTTTATTGCTCCAGTTCCTTACAATGTTCTTTCAACGTTTCTTACACGGCTGTTTCTCACTGTGGAAAACTCTCCGGCTTGCGGAGCCACACAATGAGCTAGCAGTCTGTTCACAGTCTTTCCTGCTTCATCCGCGCGATCGATTTATAGTAGATCGATCGCGCCGATTCAGCAGGCCCACTGGTCCTAGCAACGGCCGTGCTAGTTACCGGTGCCGGTGTCGACATGCCGCGTTGCACTTTGGACAATGCGGCAATGTGTCGCATCCTGTGGCAACCAGCAGTTCTTCCTAGAACCTAAACAGGTCATTGAGCAATAACAGTGATGTCTCATCACATTGCTCAATGGCCTTACTCTACTTAACTTTATTACAAAAATTGCCTCAAAACATTTCCCCCTTCCGGAAAAAAGGAAAATGCTTGTAACATTTTCCGTCGCAACTCTTAAATCTACTTACAATGTGTGTACAATTTTTGTGTGCTACTTATACTAGTCTGTATTTACTAATACGCGGTGTAACCTACAGCGCGATGGTCTCGGCGTTTTGTGCGCGGGCATTCCGTTTTCACGCCGCTCCGCGTTACATAGCTCTACGGCAACGCGCGCCAGCTCCGTCTTTCTCTTACTCTTCACTATTTTATACACAATTATTACAATAATTATTGCTACTACCGTTACGCCTAACGTAATTGGATAGATAAAATGTGGATTTTCAAAAAACGAACTTTTGTTCACTTCATCGGTTAACTCTGTTATTTCCGATACTCTGTTATTTTCTTAACTTGCGCCTTACTCTGCGTTACACTTTTCAATACAACTGACCTGTTAACAGTCGCACTTTTTGTCACTTTTAACACCAAAAGATTGAACCGCGGCAAATACGTGTTAATTTGTTCACCGTTCACCACCTTGTTGGTGTAAATCGTCACGCTGGAAGTTACCAACCTACATTTCTCTGACAATTTTATCTTTCCGACTCCGTTTAGAGTTTCTGTTGCTTCTTTTCGGTTCACGCACGATATCACCACCGACTCGCTTTTCGGGTTTAAGTACAGCCATATACGTGCCTTCTCCAACCTTATCCAGATCGTGCGATTCGAAACCACAGTTTCTTCTTTGCAATTGAAAAAACTTTCCAACTCACTAACATACGCTTGCACCTCGCACGGTGCGTCCGCGTGTACTTTGTACACTGCTTCTACATTATCGCAGACGTAACTATCCCTAACGTTTTTACATTGCTCTAACTGACTTACTTTTACAATGGAGTATGTTTATTCTCATCTATCGCAATTATTTTGTTTTTCACCTGCGCCACTGTGAAAACACTATCGTGATTATGCACTGGCAAGGGCACTACCCTTAACAGATCGTATTCTACTGGAGACACTAACGGAAACTTGACGACGGTATACACGCTCGCGCTTTTACAATAACTGTGACGCTAACTGTGACGTATTCTTTTATTGTCAACCAATTCTCTAGAGTTACAACAAACGGGAAGTGTAACCCGTGGATCGACCAACTGCTCGCGTCCCGGAGACTTTTTAACACTAACTCGACGGGTACTACTTCTAACTGCGCAAACTTCGTTTGTACGTCCGTGACGTATCCCATGACGCTTTCCACGTCGAACTCGAGTTTGGTGATTACGCTTCCTAGTTCCATAAAATATTTGGTTAGTTCCGCCTGTCGTGCGGAATCGTCTACCTTTTGTGTTACTTTCAATACCGCGTTTTTCAACTTATTTTTGTTTCTCTCGACTATTTCCTCCACGTTTTGTACGTGCGCAATTGTTGCGTTTACAACCTGCAACTGATTTTTAACCACATGTTGTAGCATTGTTTGTTTTTTACCCAATAACTCTATTTGCTCCGGTATCCGTTTTTCATCGTCGGCGTCCATGGTGCCGAACAAAACTTTTGCGATGGAGCCTACCGCGTTTACTAGCTCGCTTCGGTAACGCGTTGGCGTACCCACGATCGTCTTTACGCGTCTAACTAGTCTTTCCATCTTTTGCAATATTTGCTGTAACTCTGCAACAAAACCTTTGCAAAATTTTCCATTTTCACGAACTACTGTTACGTCCCCGCATGTTTTCTTTGTATCTCTCAACATGCGTTCCGCCTGTTCTACTCGCCTATATATCGTAGATACGTCTAATCTTACGACTAGTCTCCACTTTTCGCTGACGTGGAGTATTGTTCCGTACTTCTCGTAGTACATGCCGGGACTGTGTTGAAATTTTTGTATGTGGTATCCTTGGTCTCCGGTTTCACTCTACGCGACGCAAAAGGTAAGTATTACTACTTTTACTAACAACATTTTCTTGCAAACAAAACGTTTTCTACAATACGCCTACATATACTATGCTTTACTTTTTATCGCGAACGGTGTCGTCTAACAGGTGGAACCGCGAGCGTCGGTCGTACTTCGAGTTTGTTACTCTTGCCACCTAAGCTCTTTTTATCGCTTTTTATTTTAATTCTAGGACTTATATTTGAGACGTCCCCGCGACTGTCTTTTGTTTCCCGCGACATGGTTCTTCACGACAACGATCGTCAGTACCTCGCTGACAGCAGTGCAAGTGACGAGTGTTACAGTGAATCCTTGTGTAAGTGCTTCGACTTACCAGAACCCGCGTGCGTTTTCTTGTGCTTAACCTTTTGCCTCTTTTAGTGTCTAAAAATGTCCTCAAGTGCGGCCTTAAGCCCGGAACGCTCTTGGTTGAGCGCACGCACTCCCTGCGACGACGACGTCCTCACCAAAGTGATCCCCCTCGTCGTCCTTGACGACGAGTCACCACCGGGGACCCCCGCGGTACCCTGCACCCCGGAGGGGCCGCTACCAGCATCACCAGAGGTGGAGGTCCTATGCGTCCGGCCTCCGCCGCCTGCTTCCTCCGACCCGGAGCCTCCGACTTATCACTACGGGTGTAAGCGAGGCTTCATCCTGGGGTGGTTCCCAGAAAACTACAAGTACTATGACAATGAAGTGGTGTGCCTGGGGCCCCCGCTTCGCGCCTCACCGTCGCCCATCACCCTCTCCGACTCGGAGTGATGGTAAGTGACTACTACTTCTTTTTTTTAAATTTTCTATAAAGGCTTTCAGCCTGTTGACGTGCACACTTTGTGTGCGCCGTCCTGCTTTTACAGTGTAAGTGACGCCTGACACTCTCGCTACTACCACATACGGTCCTATCCATTTTGACTCTAATTTCTTAGACCTGCCTCTTCTTACTGTTTCGTCATAAAGCAGGACCTTTTCTCTTACTTCAAATGTTGCTTAGTTTTCCTATCGTAGTAACGCTTGGCCTTTTCTTTTTCTTCTTTGAGTTTTTCTCGCGCTACTCGATTTGTTGCCCGCAATCTCTCTTTTAATTCTTGCGCGTAGTTTTCTAAATTATACTGCGTTGACGGTGGTTTAGTTAGGGCAGTCGGTAATTCCGCGCATCTCCCGTACACCAATTCAAAAGGTGTGAACCCCGTTGCCGTGTGTGGTGTCGTATTGTACGCAAACATTGCATACGGCACCCACTCGTCCCAATCCGTCTGGATGGTCCTCGTTTACATAGTGACGTAAATATTTGGCCAGCGTCCTATGCGACCGCTCCAACGCTCCGTTACTTTCCGGATGATAGGCCGTTGTTTGTATCTTATTTATCCGCAATAGCTTGCAAACACTTTTAAACAGTTCGCTTACAAAGTTTGTTCCTCGATCCGTTGAAATCGTTTCCGAAATTCCGTGCTCACAC